GGAGTATTTCTGTTAGGTTATCCTTTTTTCAAAAATAAAACTGTTTGTTTAAGAGAGCACCGATCAAATTTGCGTACTATCATGAACACACTGTGTTGGGCGGTCGGTTCCATCTCCGGAAATAATCTCATCTTTAATGATGTTTTTTTCCTTCGAAGCAATCTTTCTTGGAGTTTTTTCGAAATTGAATTATGAAGTTGATTTGATAAAGTTGTTCACGTTTGATAAAGTTCATTTATAAAATCGTGACGACGGTTTTTACTGCGGACTTTGCGCTCGCAGAAGCATAAAATGCTCATAAAAGAGGGCATCACCTCAACGTTCAGCTCAGTCACTTCCACTTATCTGAACGTTATCATACTTGAGCAAAAAACAATTCAACTAGAGAAAACCAAGAAAATGCCATTTCCATGAGTGGCGTGCGTGCGCGCGCGGTCGCGTCATCGTCACAATTTTTGAACACCCTTTACAACATGCTTTTGTTTGCTTCTCGGCTTGACCCGGAAGATTGTTGATCCAATCACAGTTGGAGGGTGTGGGGGGGGGGGGGTAGGGCAAGGATCAAAGGGGACTTCGTAAAATTTTCGAAAGTCAGGGGGGACTTCGTTTTCAAAAACCCTAGAAACGGACTCGTGCCGGGCCCTGGTTATGACATGCTCTTTTTAACTAATAGAAGCCGGTAGTGATTGGATGTCTCTGTCCAGAATTTACTGTAAAACCTACTTTTGATATACATAACAAAGAGCATATCATCTAGATTGGTTTGTCTAAGCATTTTTAATATAATTTTTTTTTATTCTTTGGTGCAAGAATTGTGCAGCAACCTAATATGTAGCTGAACTTCGCCATTTTTTTTTTGAACTCATATATAATGATGAGAAACGAGAATCTTCTTGCTTTTGAAAATTTATTTTGAAAGCAGAGCACGAGAACTGTGAGAAAAAGGTAGTATAGAATGATTTTCCTTCCAATTGCCAAAAATCCAGTCTTCGTACCGAATTAAAAAAAGACAGTGTAACGAGGAACTTATTACTTTAGATGACCAGATGACTGACGGTACAGAGAGGATAACATTGTAAAGTGAATTAATTGCTGCATCGAACTTGAGTAATACATCAATTTTTTTTCATAGAAACAACTTTAAAGGCAGCTTAGCAGATTTACGTTTGAAGGAATTGAATTCGAAGAATATGCAGAAAGGAGCCACTGTGCGCTTTCTTCTATCAACAAAGCGTGAGAAAAGTGTTCCTGTGGGGTGATTCTTCACTGTTCTCTTTGATTACTCATCGCCTTGTTTCTAGAATTGCTCCTAGAAAACTGCCGCCGGAGTGCGAAAAGGCTCAAATATTAATATATTAGGTCGTTTCAAAAGTAATTTCGCTTTTTTCAAACGGGCACCAGATTTGAAGGAACAAAGCTTTGTAAGAGGTCTTAGAAGCATTCGATGCAGAATTTCATTCTCTTTCTACTGGTTATGAAAATGCTGCAAAACAGTCAATAAGCTTTCAGAAAATAACCAAAATTTGCGACCCATGCTTTTTGAGATGGTCAAGTTTCACGATTTTTTAAAACTCTCATAACAATTCTCAGAAGGAGTTCAAGTAAATATTCGGTAGAGTAAACCTTACAGAATACAAAACTAATTTTTCCTCTTTCACGTAGCTCGCCGTAATTTTTTTAAAGATTTTTTAGCAGAACCATCGGATTTTAGCAGGCCCACGTCTGCCACAATCGCATCAAACATCAGTAATTACTCGGAATTTCAAGCTTTCAAGATGATATTAGGTCGTTCCGAAAGTAATGTCGCTTTTTTGAAGTGAACGCTACATTTAGTGGAAGCAAGGTTTCTGGGAGATCTTGGTAGCATTCAATGCAGCATTTCATCTTCTTTCTAATGGCTATAATTTCACTGCAGAATACTAGATGAACTTTTGAAAAAAATTACTAAAACCTCCAACCCATGCTTTTTGGGAAGGTCAAGTTTCACAATTTCTCTACTTTTTTGTAATAACTCCCAGAAGGAGTCCAAGTAATGGATGGATAGAGCAATCCCTACAAGAAACAGCACAATTCTTTTCTACTTTTCAGAGCTCGTCATCATTTTTGTATAGATTTTTTGATGAAACCACCGAATTTTAGCAGACTCGTCTCGGACACAATTGGATCAGACACCAATAAATCTTCGGATTTTGAAACTTACAAAAATGGATTATGGTTTGACATTAATTTTACAAACCAAATGAGCGTTTACCGCCTTAGATTAGCAACTTTCGGAAACTGCGGGTACAGCCTGGAGCGCCCTGGAGAAACTGAATTATGATGATTTTATCCCGGAAAACTTTATGAATCGGAAACCAAAAACAACTGATAGAAAGAGGAGAAAAAGCTGCGTCGAATGACACCCAACTTGCTCGCCGGATTTGGTTCTGTGAGGTTTTACTTATAAAATATGGGATTTGATAGCATTAAAAAATTGGTTTCAGAAATTCTAAGAGGCGGGCTAAGAAAAAGAAAAATGTTGTTTCGTATCCTATAAGGTTTGCTCTATCTGTACATTACTTGCACTTCTTCGGGGAATCAGTACAAAAATTTGGAAAAATGACCGAACTTGACTATGGCAAAAAGCATGAGTCGTAGATTTTGGTGATTTTTCGAGAGCTCATTAAATATTATGCAATGATATTACAACCACTAGAAAGAGGATGAAATGCTGCATCGAATGCTTTCAAGATCTCTTACAAATCTTTGTTCCACGAGATGTGGCGTACCTTTGAAAAAAGCGACATTACTTTCGGAACGACCTAATATATGACTTAATATTGATTTTATAAAGCAAATGAGAGTTTACGGGTTCGAAATATCAAATTTCGAGTTTTTCGGGTACAGCCTGGGGCTCGCCAAAAAAGTGAGTTTTGATGATTTCTCCCTGGGAACTAAACGAATCGGAAACAAAAAACACCTGTTAGAAAGAGGAGAAAATGCTGCATCGAATAGTGCGCGAGCTGCTCTTCTTTTGATGTTCTACGAGGATTTAGATGCCCATGTATGGAAATCGGTAGCATCAGTTAAAATTCTGTTAAAAATGTAGGACAAGCTATGGAAAGGAGGAAAAAGTAGTTTCGCATTCTGTACGGTTTGCTCTATAAAGGCGTGACTACTTTTTTGGAGGGTTGATATAAAAGTTTTAAAAAATTGTGAAACTTGACTATCTCAAAAAGCACAGGTCGCAAATTTGGTTATTTTCTGAAAGCTTACTGACTGTTTTGCAGCATTTTCATAACCAATAGAAAGAGAATGAAATTCTGCATCGAATGCTTCCAGAGTCTATTAGAAACCTTTGTTTCGTCACATGTAGTGCCCGTTTGAAAGAAGCGAAATTACTTTTGAAACGACCTAATAATATAATATTTGTGTCGCAAAAATTCCTGACAAGGGTCAACCGTTACGGCCTTTTCAGCGCTCAATAGAGCAATGTTGAGTATGAGTGTACTAAACAGAATTTAATATCTGCTGCATGACGAAGGCGGTTGCCCAAATAGATTGAAGGCTGTCGCACACGCGGCGCGCGGGCAATTGTCAACCACCGGGCGCGCGCACGCTCGGAAGCGGTCATCCACTGGAGCGTGCGCGCGCCCCGTGGCTGACAATTGCCCGCGCGCTGCGTGCGCAACAGCCTTCAACCTATTTGGGCAACCGCCTTCGTCATGCAGCAGATATTACCTTCCATTTAATGAAGTGTTCTGATGATTAACACTAGATCATTTGAGCATTTCTGAACGAATTTTGTTCGAGTTGCCAATTCAATTTTTCAACCCCACAAACGCTCATGACTCGGCGTCCAGAAGCGTTTAGCAGATAATAAAGACAGATTTGGAACCACCTTTCATGCTCTTTAAGGACCATGAGTACGAATAAATATAGACACATAAAAAGGCCACTTCGATTAAACGGAACTTCCTCGTGAGAGTTGCATTAGGTCTCGTATGGTCCATCCATCGCTTTCGCCTTGGTGATAATAAACGATAAAACCGTGTGAGATTCGATGCCAACCATCACACGTATTAGAAAAGCAAGTTTCCTTAGAGTTTATCACACTAATCTGCCAGCTAGCGAATCATTATTATTGTTCTACTGCACAAAAAGCTATCCGGTACGTCGGAGTCGAATAGCAAATTGGAATAATTTTGCATCCACTTAGGTATGGCTGTGCATGAACGTTTCTGAGTTTCCAAGCAAAATTCATTGCGAGATGAGTGGCTTTAATTTAGTCCTGAATTTAACTTACAAGGAAAGTGTCAGAAGTCGCAGTGGCCCCTTCATATGGGTTGGTTATGAACTGAAGCAGCTTGAAACGCTGTTTTCAAAACAGCCTTCTTTAACTGCAGAACGATTCTGTGACGGGAGTCATGCGCATTTTGATCATCAACTTTTACATTGTTTAGAATACCCTACGATCATAGAAATCGTTCAAATGCTTGTCAAGCACTACATCATGACACTGAAAAAAGAGTAAAATTACACTGAGCATTGATAAACTGTTTCATCTAGGTTCAAACCCAAAACAAAGGACTTCGATAGTTTTGGATAGTCGCAGCGTTGTAAATTGCCCTCAAATTATATTCAAATACTTCAGACCCAGATTTGTTTAGCAGCTAAGAAAGGCTGTATTGGAATCAGCGTTTCAACCTCTTCACAATGTATTTATCTCATGTCACTAGGCCACTCTTCTGACACATTCCTTGTCAGAGAGATATGTTCCCTCGCTTCCAAGATTTTAGTAATTTCAATAAGGACAGAGTGATATCCACTTCTCAGTAATCGCAGTGGGCGGATTCTCCAATGACCCAAATCAACGTAAACGACTTACGCGATCATGACCCCGTTCACTCTCGATCGCCACTCTCTGGCGGTTGTTGTTGCAACTACTCCTTTCTCATGTCCGAACTTGCTATATATATAGTTTACTACCTTTACTTCTCATTAAGACCCATTTCACTTTTAGCCGCATGGAAAAAGTCGCATCTCGCCTGCAAGTGCCATATGCTGCAGCCGCTGTTTCGTTGTTTTGCATCCTGACAGTAGCGGTGGTGCTGCCAGTTTTGCATATTCAGCTTGACAGGGCTCAAGCTAGACTGCAGAATCGAATGGATTCCTTCAAAGTGAGCTTGACACGAATCCTTGTTGAATTTAATTTAAACTCTCTATTTTAGCACACCGCACGCAATATTTGGCAAGACATCGTTTTAGTGAAAAGTCATGGTAGAATCCGACGTCAGGGATACGGTAGTTACGATGCTTCCGGAGACAATCAACAGTGCACTTCTTGCGTGCAGCTGCAGTGCCCACCAGGACCACCTGGTCCACCCGGAGTCAATGGTGAACCCGGAATGGATGGCGCACCGGGACGCCCAGGTACTATTTACTTCAACATTAGTCGAACCACGCCAAAGTGTACATTTAAGGAAAACCTGGACTCGATGGGCTCGATGTACCTCTAGATCCTGAGCCAAGCTTTCCATGCGTAATATGCCCCGCAGGGCCCCCAGGAAATCGGGGACCTCAGGGAGAAACTGGCCGTCCTGGTGTTCCCGGTGAACCTGGACATCCCGGCTTACCTGGGCGACCAGGTAAGCCAGGACGTGTTGGTGATGCCGGACCCCAAGGAGAACCTGGTGAACAAGGCGAACCTGGCATCAAGGGACCTCCTGGTGACGACTCCATTGGAGGTACTGGAGTGAAGGGACCACCAGGGCCACCTGGCCCTCGTGGACCGAAAGGTCCTCCTGGCGCAAATGGTATGCCATCCCAAAATCCTGGTCCTGCTGGACCAATAGGAGAGATGGGACCTCCAGGTCCTCCTGGGCCACGTGGAGAACCTGGGCCACCTGGACCATTCGGACCTCCTGGAGATGCCGGAGAACCCGGTGGCCACTGTCCTTCTTCGTGTGGGGTAAGTCATTATAGTCTCCAATTTGATAAAGTAACCAAAGTACGACTTGCAGGTTCAAGAAATAGTTGCACCCTCTGTTTCTGAGCTGGACACCAACGAATATCCACAACAGAACTACGCTCAAGGAAGCGGTCGAGGAGGGTACGGCGCTGGCTACGGAAAATAGATCGTTCTATATCAGTAGCAGTATCCATCGACATAAAAAATTATACTTTCTGTTTACAATGTCTACTCGAGTAGATATATTTATTGCAGTGTTATATGTACAGGGCGGTCAATCCTGCTTGGAAGTAGAACTGTCATGTGCGATTTCATTGTGTTTTGCGTTAGCAATATCCACAGGTTTTGGCGCAAGTCTCTCGTTTCTGAGAATCGCTGTAGAATAGGCTTTGACAGAATCCATTCTTTTTCCAACCCGCACAACTAAATGAGACGAACAGTCATAATTTTTTTTATACTACCAGGCTATGTACTAACCCTTTCCCGTTATCCACGCATGTTCCAGGGCTATTGGTGAATCCTCCAGGTTGGGTTGACTCTAAAGGGGACAAATATGACTTTTTACAGATATTAAGTGTAAAACTCACGTGAGCTGCCATCACAGAATCCACATGTTTTCTTACACTTTGTTTGGACGAATTCCTGTACAATTTTAGTGTTTGACCTAAGGCATTAAATTTCATAATAGTATTAACCAACCTGCATATCGACATTACGACAAATGCTCTTGTCATTAGCACACTCGATAGCAGCATCGACACATCCACCTTGAGTAACAAAAATGTGTAGATTTACATTCTATTTTCAAGAAGAAAATTCACAAACCTTCCATGCAAAATCCACACACGTTCGGGCAATCACGTGCTATGATTTCGCGCCACATAGGATCTTTGCATTGTGCGGGCTTGATTGTAGAGCAAGTTACTCCAGGGACTTAAAATACAAATTTTGGACTTTTCCAAACCACAAACTACTTCCTCACATTCTTTATTATTGCAGTGGTATTGTGGAGTCAAGCAGCAGTAACCGCAAGTTTTTGGGCACATAGCAATCACAGCCTGCTTCTTCTCTTCCGAGTCTGCATCACCCATCTAAATTTGCGCTTGGTCGTGATAAAAAAAACATAAATACAGGCAATTCATCACACGCAGAGACTGGACGCCGTTGCGGACGGCTAAGACAGCCTGTGTTTTGATGAGACAGCAGACGGCAAGAGGGATGGTACTGCGCTGAACCGACGCAATGGCACCCTTCTCTGCGTGTTATGACTCGGGTATATGTATTTCTGACCTTATAGCATTCCGTTGCACGATCTGTGTCGTCACCGACGGCGAGCGCTTTCTGAGATTTGATAATCGAATCGCAAACGGCGTCCGAGATCACATTGTCACAACTAAGGGCACGGTCAGACCACTAAATGAATGTACTATTTTCCAAAGGACGATTAACAATTACAAAAATCGCTTTCGTAAGGGATCAGCAAATCATTTTTTACCTTCCCATCAGCGGTGGTACAATTTAAGTCGGTAATTGCCCCATTGACGGTTACGGCCAAGGCTGCGATTATGACGAAAGAGTACATGACGGCCTAAATTTTATACTGCTAGAAATTATGAGAGGATTTTTACCGTTCATCATCAGCACATGAGTTGTCTAGAGATATTTAACAAGAGAATTAGCTGAAGGCGCTGATGCTGCTATTGCTCAAAACCTTTATATATCCAAGCTTATCATTGTAGTCTTTTTATGCACACACCTGCCTCACTGTTGCAATATCGCTTTTGAACAGCTTCATGCTGTGCAAATACATAAAGTGTTATGTTTGCTGACCAATTATAGCCAATCATTATGATTTCTTAGCGCTTGGGAGAGCACTAGAGCGCAGCGATTTATGTCAATGATCGTCTGATGCAAAATAACTCAACAGAATTTTGAACGGTCCTCAGAGAAGAAAGTCCTCAACGACCTCGGGCTGTTATTTAGGATCTACCATAATGTTTCAGTGATTCATTTTGCTAAGGATCCTCTAGTTTTTTTGAAATGTCGACCTTAACAATTCTAATTGTATGCACTTGTACATCGAATAAGGAACGAGCATCAGAATCCATTGAGAAATCAATCTCTTTATCTAGTCGAGAAATGCCGCAAATTTGTTACAATAGATTATAAAGAGAGAAATTGCCTATATATGCTAAACAACGTGACAAAATTTTCACAGGCGTCGAAATTCTGCAAATTAATAAATTATTTCCTGTAAAATATCTGCAAGGTAGGTGCACGGTGTGCAAGCTCCGTCTTTTGTAGCTCGACTAGCATACTGGCTATGGCATCTATTCGATGATTTTACTGGTAAAAAGTCGGAGGTCTTCAGCTGGATGCTTGGCTTTTTGACACTTGTCTTTCGAACTATAGAGCTAGTCCTACTGCATTCAAAAAGCTTTTTGATAATTTTGTTCCGAAATGCTTTTCAGGGAAATAACGGAAGGCGATCAGCTATAAATCCAAAGCCGCACCTTTGTATTTTCACTATCAGGTAAAATTGATGCATGTTCGTTATCCTAAAGCCGCAGAGAAAGTATAAAAATGTATATAACATCTCATTCGATAGAGCAAAACAAGTCCCAAGATGGTGCTCAAACATCGGAAAATTTGATCACAAAAAAGAAAAAACATAAAAATTTTCAGATGCCCTAATATCGGATCTCCGTTCAAGTAATTCCATTAACCTTCAACTTGCTCACGAAAGCTACTTCTTGCTCCAAGTAGGTATGTACCTTGCTGTTTTTTTTTTCATAGCTAGAAGTAAAGGAAATAAAACTTGACATGCTTTAATAAAAGCAGTGCGACAGTTTCAACAAAAGTCATTCTATACTACGGGTCTTTAGAGGTATAACAATAGATTTTCAGCTCTGTTCAGGCGTTTTTAACAAATTTGACAAAATTTCGAAAAAACAGCATTTTCGAGTTTTTCTATTAGGTCGTCCCGAAAGTTCTTGCGCACGATTTTCAAAAATTCATAACTTCTGATTTTTCTAACCGATTTGACTGCATTTATTTTTGTATGAAAGAATAAGTCGTGCTCTTTATAATGACATCTTAACTGCTCGCTTAGGGTCTTCTGTTGCATAGATAGGAGCGATGGAAGAAAGTTGGTCAAAATTTGAATTTTCTGTGTAGTGTCATAAAAAATTGGAAACTTGCAATAAAAATCCGGGCAGTTGGTATTATAGATTCTGTTACCTGTTCTTTCTAACTGTGCAAAGCTTGTGCTGGTTGAACGTCCCTATGAAAAGTTATGATTCCCCTGAAAAAAGCCAAAATAAATCAAATTCGCCCCTTGTATTGCTTCCTCGAAAATCATAACTTTTCATAGAGACGCTCTATCGGCGCAAACTTTGCACTGTTAGAAAAAGCTGGTGAAAGAACCTACAATTCCGACTGCTCCGATTTTTGTTGCAAGTTCCCGATTTTTTATGACCCTACACAGAAAATTCGAATTCTGATATTTTCTTCTATCGCTCCTATCTATGCAGCAGATGAAGCGTCATTAGTAAGCATCTAAGAGGTCATTATAAAGAGCATGACTTACTCCTTCATACAAAAAGAAAAGCAGTCAAATCGATTGGAAAAATCAGAAGTTATGATTTTTTGAAAATCGTGCGCAAGAACTTTCGGGACGACCTAATATTTTTATTTTCCAATTTTGAGCCGTGAAAAAAAAAATACGGCAAGTGTACATATGAACGTTGATGTGTATAGCACATGACTAATTTTTATGAATTAAAAATTTCTAAGATTTTTTCCCCAAACATCAAACTGATCGAACCTTTTGCTATTGTTTGAATGCTGTCTTATAGTGCTTGCTTTGCTCCATCGAAATATTTGTTTTATACATATTTATATCATCTCTGCTGCTTCAGGTTAAGAAACATGTATTAATTTTTCATCAACCCAGTATTATTCATTTTTCATTCTTTGCAGTTGTGGAAAAATACAAAAAGGAACATGGGAACTTAGTGGCGAATTGGGATTTAAGTTTTCAGATTTTATGAGTACGTGACGATGACGATGATGTTTTTCAGTGATTACCTGTCTATGTTATAGAATACAGCAATAGAATGGATAGACAGAACATCTGGGAAAAAATTGAGGAACTTGTTATATATAGAAGTAATGAGGTTGAAGCAGTCTTGTTTTGAAGTTGATAATTTATCTATTCCTAATATTCCCCAACCGCGTTCTACCCTCGTTTCTCCTGAGGAAAGTATTCGATTTCTTTTTCATATCTCTTCTGGCGCCGTAAAAAATCTTTTGCACTTATTATCACGCATAGCTTGGGAGATCGGATGGTTTAACAGGCAGTCATGGTTCAAGAATCACTCTCTCTTCCAGTATAATACTTTAATATACCAAGAAAGTTTTCCACATTGCTTTCTCTGTTTGCTCTCCATATTTATCCCTACTACTTGAACTCACTATAATTGCAGAAAATCTTCCTTGCAAATTCTTTCATATTTGAAAAGCACACGTATTTTCTCTACTCCAGGCATCCGTCTATCGCTACTGATAACGTTACTGTCAAGTGCAACGTATGGTTCGAGTACAACAAAAGCAGAAGGAGTTTTATTTTGGATGGAAGTTTTTAACGAGTCTGGCAACTGTACTGCGCTTGATGTATCCACGTCTTGACTATGCTGTTCTCTTATCAATCGCTTCAATAGTGTGTGCTGGGGGATGTTCGTTCCAGTTTCTAGCACATTTAGACGAGAATAAAAAATATTTAGTCACATATTGTCAAGCCTTCATCATTTTAGCAGTAGCTGTTAAGGATATTGAAAATAGGGTTGATATTGGCAACCCTCTGACTAATTCTGTCCATTTTCAGATGAAGTGGTCAGCTACAATGTTGGCAAAATTATTGGAAAATTCTACAATGTATTGCTTTCGAAAAACGAAGTGTCTTTCTGGAAACTCTTCTGGAAGGCTACTTTGATATATTTCGGACAAAGTTTGGTAATCGCTGGATCGTCCTATCGCCTAAATATAATGTGCTATTTATTAATAGCTTCTTGCGACGACATCTCTTATCACATGGCTTATATATCTGATTATCAGAAGAAATTTGACCAGAGCGCTGCATGAGCTATACTACAGACGAAGCATTTATTATACATTGAATTGCGTGGACAATGCAGGAATAGATAATCCGTTAGTCATAGAGGATTCTATCTTGATAAAATAATTATAAAAGTGTAGCTTGATAATGCACATACCGTAATCGATGTTTTATATAGTGACATCATTTCGTTTGATTTTTTTAGGGATCAGCGCATAACTCAAGATGTAGAGCGTATGTGTAGTATACTGGCAAAGAATATATTTCCATACATTTTGATTTCCCCCGGTGTTATCGGATGGTACACTTACACTACTTGGTCAATGTAAATAATGCTTATGCATTGTTTAGATATGCTACGTAAATTTTTTTCTGTTTAGAGCTGGAGGATTCGGTGTAGCTATCATTTATGTGTATTTTATTATCAGTGTTATTGCAAATCGAATTCTTGTTTCACCTCTCACAAAGTGGACTGCTAGGGTGGAGAAGCGCGAAGGAGATTTCAGGTTAGTTGTTTTAATCATTAGTTGTTTTGATCATTTGAGTGAGTAAAAAAAACAATCAGCAAATCTCTCCCAAGAACTGTGGCCGTGACAATTTTGATCGCAGGTTTTTAGAGTGATCTAAGCACTGTTTGTATCTTGAGCTTGAGTACGTCATTGAAATTAGCAAGAATCCCGAAAATAACAAAATTAACGTAGAAAAAGACATCAGTAAAGATCATGGCTTACCCAGGATTTCCTTTTTTGGGGGGGGGGGGGGGAGAGGGAAAGGAACCTTTCTGGACGTTTCTCAGAAATTTTGCGGGTCCATAACCCCGAAAATAATTTATAAGGCTAATTTGATTTTTTAAAAATTTTCAAAAATTATTTTAGTCATTCGTAAGCAAAAACAAGTCGCTTGCACGTTTTTATAACGCATGTAGGTTTTAAGACAAGTTTCAGAAATCTTTTTTGCATCGATACTGTGTTCAATTTCTACTTAAAGAATTGAAAATTGCTTTTATACAGGTACAAACATGTGACGGTACGAAACAAAGCTGAAGAGTCAGCCTTTTACAATGCAGCAAAGTTCGAGGAATTTGAGAGCGATCTTTCCTTCAAGCGTCTTTTCAATACACAGTTAAACGCATCACTATGGAAGTACCCTGCTCAATGTAAATTTGTCTTTGAATTTTAACCAACTTCAGTGTTTGTGACCAATTAATTCTTTGAAAGCCAAAGCCCAGTCAACCACCTCTACTGACTCGTCAAATTTCAGTCTTGCAAAATTTCATTGATTACTATGGTGCAGTTTTGAGCTACCTGATTATATTATTTCCCGTGTTCATCTTCCACTCCTACGACCATATGGATGGGCCAACTCTAGCACAACAGATTTCCAATGTACGTGTTAGCTCAGTACAGTTTTCATATCGCTTCAGAAAACATTAATGAATCGTATTTGAGAACGCTTTCTACTTCCTCTATCTAATCAATAGCTTTACGAGACTGACGGATTTGGCCATAGCAGCTGGAGAGATGGCAGGATACACACAAAGGCACGACTCCGAAATACTTCTAAGGCTTGGTAGTTTCGTAGAAGTTACATTGGGAGACTTTTCACAATTTTCTTACAACTTCAAGTTGATTTTTCATAGACTCATTAGCTTCTTTGCAGAATCAATGAATTAATTTGCTATATGAGACAGCTTAACAAAGAAGATAGCATTACTTGGAGTTTTGATGCTCATCATGGAGATCCTAATGATCTTCTTGTTACTAGAAACCTCAGCTATACTAGTCCAGGGGAGACTGACGACTTAGTTTCAGGTAATATTAACATATGACGTGTAAAAAATTCACTCCCGGGTGTTGTTAATGTTACTTTTTTCTCCATACAGACCTAAACCTGAACCTCAAGAAAGGTCAAAGGCTGTTGATAACTGGTACAAGTGGTGTGGGCAAATCATCCTTGCTAAGAATAATCAGGAAGTTATGGAGACCTCATTCAGGTAAAGGCGATTCAGCGCACGCAGAGACAGAGTGCCACTGCGCACGCCGGGACTTCGCGCTGTCTCTCAGCGAAATTCCGCGTGCGATAAATTGCCTTTCTGGATATTCCCTTGATCCAATAAATAAACATCTCACTTTTGAGGTAAAATTGTGAGAAACTTCTCTTTGGCTGAGACCATGTTCATCCCTCAGCGTCCGTACTTCCCTCCTGGTCAACTGTCACTAAGGCAACAAGTTGTGTTCCCTCTGATAGATGATGGAGAAGACAGCTCATTACTAGGTGAAAACTGAAAATTTGGCAAATTTGATTTCAATTTTGGACCAGTCTAGACAGTAATAAAGTGCTCAAAATCCTGGAAGCTCTTCGCCTACGCTCGCTAATCTCTATGTGTGGCGGTCTGAAGGATCCAGCAAATTTTGAATGGTAAGTGCAATTAATTTTTTTATGGAACAGAGACTTCTTTCCTTACTTATTGTACTTTCAGGCAAGATATGCTCTCACCTGGAGAACAACAACGCCTTTCAATAGCAAGAGTACTCTTTCACAAGCCCAATCTTGTGTTTCTCGACGAGGCTACAAGTAGTCTCTCGGTTGATGCAGAAGCTGCTGTTTATCAATTACTAAACGAAGTAAGTGGACTACACAATAACGATAGTGTCTCAACTAATTTCTGTATTAGCATGGAATAACGTATGTGTCCTCTGGACACAGACCTTCGTTGAGACTCTTTCATGATGTGGAGCTACAACTGACTAAAGATCACGGATGGAAGTTAGTCAACATCGAAGTTAATGAGAAAACCGATGAAGTTTCTCCAGTCAACTTCTCTACCGTTGATCATTTCTAGACAATTACTCACTACTCAGTGGCTTGAGCCATTATCAACCGCTGCCATTTCATAGCGGCAAAACATCAGGCAGTATTTAACATAGTATAGGCATAGGAATGTGTGTGGCATATAAAGATATAAAGATTTATATAAAAGATGAGATGTAGATGTATATAAAAATTCATCAGATCTACTTCGTAGTCAAGACACTAAGTTCTCACAGCGTTAACATGACATCCTGAGCTTTTCCTAGAGATAAAGAAGATCGGCACACGATGTCCAGATCGCCAATCATTGGCATCTGCCATACTTGATCCGCTTAATCCACTTGAACCGCTTCCGCTTCATCATTGGTCAATTCAGTGAGCTGACCAATAGTGAAACCGCTTCGCTATTGCTCAATTCAATAAATCGACCAATGACGAAGCGGATCAAGCGGATCAAGTGGATTAAGCGGATCAAGTTTGGCGGGTGCCATTCAAACAGTCAGCATAGCTTCGCGCCATGTCCGCGCTCGTATGGCTTAGGCATTCAAACTGGCTCGTTGGCGTTGCCCATGCGTAGTTCCTATGCGCAAGCGTGTAATATCTCCTCCATGACGAAGGCGGTCGCCCAAATAGGTTGACAGCATGCAAGGCTGACGCGCACGCGGCACGCGGGCAATTGTCAACCACGGGTCGCGCGCACGCTCGCGTGAATGACCGCTGACCGAGCGTGCGTGCGCCCTGTGGTTGACAATTGCGCGCGCGCCGCAGCTTTGCATGTTTTCAACCTACTTGGGCGACCGCCTTCGTCTTGGAGCAGATATTACAGTCGGTTTCACCCCGAATTAGGCGGAACATCCCATAAGGAGGGGCGCGTACGCACCGCCGGAAGTCTCGCGAGCGCATAGCGCTGGCATTTTGCCAAGCAGGGACTGAGGAGAAGGGAGAGACGCAGACCTCGGTGGCACGATATGATGTACTGTAGCTGCGAAACGGCGCGAGCTGTTGCGAGGCGGACGCCCGCCAATCCAATTTCCGCCTAATGCGGGCCGAAACTTACTGTATAGGCTGCTGCATGACGAAGGCGCTGTATCTTTGAGCGCGAACGCGGCTTTTGTTGCCGCAGAGCGCGTGAGGCGCATGACTCAACGGTGAGGATACGCGCGCGCCGCGTTCTCGCCAGCTTGACTTATATTGCTTCTGCGCCTTCGTCATGCAATAGCCTTTATGTAATTGACACAGACTGTAGATAAGCGCGCGCCGCGTTCGAGCCCGCTTCATCTATTGCTTTTGCGCGTTCTTCTGGCAGCTGTTTTTATACTAGATTTAACGACGCACGGACTGGACGTGTTAGCAATGGTCGCATCGCGCCTTGAAGAGCGTGCACAAGTACCGACTACCGCCATACAGTGCTCTCACATGTTTCGGAAGCGTGCTCATTATCGGGCAGTAAAGGATATTCGTCGACGACTGTTCCAGCTGGTGCAATTACACCACCGTGGGCGTGCTTTTTTGGGGTCTTTCCAGCTTGATAGCAGGGCAGGACAGGACAGGGATACTGTGAGCTACCAAGTCCCCGGGCACTGCAGCGTACTGTCAAGCTGGGAAGACCCCAATAAGGCATGCCCAAGGTGGTGTAATTGCACGAGTCGGGGCAGTCGTCGACGAATATCCTTTACGTGCGGTTTATGAGTTGCCATATCATTCACTGAGCTATTTGTTGCACAAACACAATCAAAACGTTGGAATATGTTCCTACAAATACACCGAAGCTCAACTGAACTATTATACTCCGACCGCTCCTAGGGCCATGCTCTCTTTCTCTATCGCTTTCAAAATTCAAAAGGTGTAGCGTCCCAGCACTAAACAAGATGTAACCGATTTTCAGCTTTACATGAGACAATCCCCTTACACTCATCAGTTATCAGAAGTCAGCAGTGCATGATCAACGCATGATTTATTGTAATGCCGTCACATGAGAAAAACGCAAAATTACCTGCCTTGCAAGGAAGAGATACTGCCTCACACCTGACATAGAATTTCTAATAATTTCTAAGCAAAATCTAAGTATCACAATCTAGTTATCACTATCACGATTGAACAATAGAGAACGAACAAGTGAGAGATGGGTAATCTTATGTACATTGAAAGAATTCTCGAGAGTAAGTAGTTTGTACAACGGTAGTTGTAAGTCGACTAGACCAAATAACAGCAACAACAGTGTAGTCGTCATTTGAATAAAGTAGATCACATGTTAGATATCACAGAAAAGTTTGAGCAGTAAAACAGAAAATTAGAAGTCTGAAACACTGCGAACAATCGCTTGCGCATTAGAACCGTTCCTTTTGCCTCTCTCAAACTTGAACACAACAGAGAAAATTTCGCCGCCCATCCGATCGGCCAACCACTGAGTTTTGATGACAGCTGCCTAAAGAAGTGTACTTCGTAGTAAGGCAAAGCAAAACTTGTACTATTGGTTCCTCCACCCTTATACGATAACAAATAAATTGTGTAGAACCCTCCCAGAGGACTAAACAAGGAAGAATATACCTTCAACGAGTCACACAAAAAATGAGCGTATAGGTTGGTATGCAGGGCACGACCCATTCCTTCGATCACAATAAGATCCACTTGTTCTTCTAGAACGCGCCGATTAAGGGTTGAATGTACCCTTCTGAAAGATACACCTTCAATTCTAAATGCTTACACTTGTGAACGGTTGTTTATTACTAACCTTAAATCTAAACAAGGTGATCCCTGACCACTATGCTCGAACATTAACAGCTCCTTATCGATAGCATCTCGCAAGAACGGGTCAGCCTTCCGTAGCAGAGGCACCATTCCTAACATTTCACCGTAAGTTAAGTCGTTGAGTGCTGGCGACAGATTCGAGATGATTATGACCTCAAAACCACAACATAGGTAGTAATGCATAACAGACAACAAATTTTCTAAACTTTAGTCTCAAACCCACCTTTGTACCACGTCTGATGAGTTCCCTTGTGAAAGGAATAACGCCTAAGAGAAAATCAGCGCCACTGTTGTCCACGAATATGGCAGCGCAGTTATATGGCTTTTGGTCCAGAGACTTCGCAAATTCGTCGTACGTGTCAATCAGCCATGGTCTTTCTGGGTGATTCACAATAGAAAAAGTACTACATTAGGTACACTATATCAAAGCAATTGCGTCAATCTCAATGCGAAAAAATCAGTTTACCAGGGATGGAAGCGACCGCAACATCGAATGGAAGACCTTCCGCAGACTCCATCATTTCCACAACTTTCTCTGCGCCCCAATCGAAAACGTTACCGGCTAGCAGTCCTTTTGAAACTCGAAAAAGACGTTCAGAACTATCCACGATCTGATATCAAGTTATTAACACTATCTTGATTGACGAGGTACATGAAATAAGGTAGACCAAACCTCATCCATGCTCTTGAGTAATGCTGATAACTGCTCTATAGATGCGGCATTTTCGACAATCTTCTGCTAGAACATCAATCCTTCCCACCAATAATAACTTTTCAAAAACAAACGTGAAGACTAGAATATCAACCCTTTCCAAATTAGAAACTTTACTAACATGGAGGTATGAATCGTCAAAATCCTGCTCATTAAGGAGCTGCTCTCGAAGGTCAAGAAGGTTTCTCACATTGGAATTGCCGTAAGCACTGTAAGAAGACCACAAAATGTTGACAAAATAAGGGCTTTAACGTGACACTCACAATGGCTTTTCCCTTATGATCTGCAGCTGCTTCAGATATTTCTCTCTGAACACCTGAACCCGCTGAACAGCACTACTGCAACTCGCTTGAGATTCCAGAGCTTTCTTGGTCACCTGGATGTGATACTGTTCGAAAGAACCACAAAAAGCTAGAAGGCTAAAACCCACGCTGTCGACACTTTTCTCGAATGTTCTGAGCCAAAACTCCCTTGCTTCGCCATCTAAATTGAGGTCAGCCACATCAGGTTTGTACACCTGCACAAGAAAATCGGAACAATTGAAATAAACCCCTAAGCTTCTAGAATATTTTCGAAGAACGAATTAAAGAATAAACATGGTGGACTTATTCCATAAAAGTTAAGTGAGAGCGCAAACAGAACCAGGTTTTTTCCGATAATTCTGGCCTTTTTATGCGCGGTTACAAGCACATCTGGCAGAAGATAAACAAATAAAAGCATCATTTCTTCTTTTTTTAAGCATAAACTCCCATACGATGGCATTAGAAGTCAGGTTTTTGGCCTGTAATTTTTTAAACCCAGATAAAATTTCGTTATGCCACGTACAAAACTATACTACACAAGCTCTGAACATGGCAAGTTGCTTCGTCGGACACGAAGTGGAGATACAAACGGGTGTAACACCTATAGGTGTCTTTCTGCATATGTGCCCAATAAGTCAACCAGGATGGGTGAGATGTTAAACTGGTGTCCTTCGTGCAACCCCGTCACCATACAAGTAGAAAAAAGCAAAAAAGAGGAAAAAATCCTGTAATTCCAAAACTTTCACAGTCTAGTTTGGCCTTGGCACAGCAGAACTAAGGTGCAACCCAATAGCGAAAATGAAAATTCTCAACAACGTGAAATGAAAAGAAATGATGCCGATCAACTTGCACCACTATCGACACTCTTTCCAATTACAAACAACCGAGAGATAAAAAAAAAACCAAGAACCATGGTAAGCACATGAAGAACAAACCTTCAAATTTTCAGCTAGAAGAGGAAACGGCCTCAATATAATCTCCGCACATTCGAGTTCAAGCACACCAGCCTATGTTGAATGTTCATGAATCGGACCGAATAAGGATACTGACAACAATAAAATACTTTTTCGAAAAACGCCCACTTAAGCACCAGAACGTGAGCGCACAAAATCATCAAGCACTCCAGCCTGCTATGAAGGTAATTATTCTTCCAAATTACAAAGAAAACGACAATTTGGTGGGAAATGACGGGATTTGTGACAGTTTCCAATCCTGCGACATTCGTTCGCGCATGGGGTGGTCAGGGCAAGGCACTGACTATCAAATTTCAAGAAAATAGCAACGAAGCAGCGCAAACCAAAACACTGAGTGTTTCATAGGTGATGGAAATGACGCGTAAGAAGGCTCACCGTGAATCCCATAGACAGCGGAGCAGTTGGAACAAATCTGCCAAGTTCAGAACACCCTGAGTAATACTCACGCCATGAAAGACGTTCAGCTTCGTCTAAACTTCATTCTCAACGTAATAGTACTGATTAACTAAGAACGAGACTCACATCCAGCTCCGAATCCGGCTTGCGAAAGATCAACGAAAGAAGCGCCGCTGAGGTATGCTCCAATTGCTGAGGTATAGCCTTCATGTCGCAGAAAATGCGCTTGCTGGGTCCCCTATAAGAATCAAAATGGAGTAAAAACCAGCAAGGAGTTTCTTGCACGTTGCAAAGGTTGAGAAGCGATATGCGAAGAACGTAGAGAAATTTTGTGGTCCTTTTAAGAACTCGGTGACATTCTTCAGTTTTTCGCAAATTCAGATCGATTGAGTGAAAGCGCTTTGATCAGGTCCGAATCCAAGTATATACGTTGGTGGGCCGTATGCTAGCTCAGCCAACTCGTTTGCGCGCAAAATTTGCTGTTTCCTAACGTGTAAACTACTTTTTTTGCCACAGAAGTGCTAACACCATTCAGCCTTCGCCTATGATTTGGATTCCGATCAAGGTCAGTAAAAATGTGAACTGCATACCAGAAACGGACTATTGAATCTAAGGGGTAAAAGAACGAAATACACCAGAAAGGCCACCTTACTAGATTACTGGTCCTTTCAGATAAGCTATTCCATATGTGAGAAGAACAGCAGTTTGCGTAGACAGCGCACCTCGTAGTTCATTAATCGACCTAATCTGTTGACAGGGTAACACGACTCACTTCACTCCAAAAGTCGATTGCATACGATATAGTCCGCATTATGATAGCATGATTCCTGATGAGGAACCCGTCGAAGTAAATCCTATTGGTTTTCTCTCTTTGAGCATAAAGGAAAGCGAACTGCAATAAAATGTCGTGCAGCAGCAACATACATACTAGCTGTCACAAACCTGACCAATACTATTACTGATCATGAGCAAAAGGCTTCGCATCACGTTATTCTTGTAGTCTGGGCAATTTTTCAAATCATCTGCGAGACATTTCCTGGCACATTTACCAAAAGATCCAGCGATAAGATCACCGCTGAGTCCCATATTTGTATACCTGGTACGAAGGAAATAGCCAGAAGGATACGACTTAAAAAAAAAAAAACTACATACTTTCCGCCGTATATGTCTGATACCAAAATATCAAACTGTCGATGATCACCCTCCTCGGCCATGCGCATCATTTCGTCCAAGTCTGCAGTATCAACAACGCAGGTGATTTATTCGTGCACAGAAACAGTATTAACTTGACACACCTACTTCGGAGGTTAGGAGATTTCCCAGGCCAAAAAAGCAGCCTCCCCCCAATGAAGAGCCTCCAACTCTTTCATATTTACAATCACTATCGACCTGTAACAAAGGCAGCATGGGGATAGAGAGTATTTGAACAGCCTAAAAACGTACCCGAAAAACGGAAACACCCGTGCCAACATTGACAAGTAGGTACGGACATATCATAGATGGGCGAATAGTTTCAAAATAATAACGACATTGTTCGTTATGATGGTCATATGTAAAAGACTCGGCTTCGATGTTTCGTAACAAAAAGTTAGTTCCACGTACCAGACAATCCATCTCTTTAACTTTATGGAGCCTGAAACATTAACTCAAGACTATAGAACAAGTGAACCAGTAATCTGAATGTGCTAGATTTGCAGGAGCGTTCGCCGCAGGACCGCTACGAGGTTCCGCGCAACTTCAACTTTTTTGAATGGCGCTTACGATTCTATATATGAAGATGGGATAATGGAATGGATTATAAATTAAAATATGTCGAAGAAAAAGAAAGTTAAAAGCTGTATTAAAAACTAACTCGAGTCCAAGTTTATCAATGATCATCTGCTCCAAGTGATGCGTTGAAGAGGTGCTTGCGAAAGTCGCCTTGTTGGTTGAGATACGCCCGTTCTGAAAAGAAACTCTGGAAGGTTCTCGAGGTCGTTCCAGGTCGTTCCACCACCAACCTCGGCTATATATGAGAGCACTGCTTCAAAATCATCGAGCCTGACTTGGATGCAATACAGTCGCAGCGCATGTTTGGCATCATGTATCAACTGCAAAGTTAACCATGATCGATGCCGGAAATTTTATGCAACCCAAACCTTCCTTTCCTTTGTCGTTCTCCTCCTTGCTACTGTGGCGGTGTAGGCAATCTTGACAACAGATTGCCCTAAAGAATAGTTAGGATGAGGCAAGACTCCTGGGCACTTGAATAAAATGCGTACCTATGTCAAAAGCCATCCGTTTAATGGTTTTTAAGTTTTTCAAAACAGTCTTGATAGATTGCGGAGTAGAGGTTGACGAAGCCATCACCTAAGAAGCTTCAGTAAATCAGAACAAGGTTAACTTTCCTAGCGTAAGGGGACCTTACAAGAGAGAAACATTGGCAATTTGCAATCAAACAGCAACACGACCTAAGCTCACACCAAAAGCAAATGAACAGGAAAAGAGGGAGATCAGTTTTACCACTAAGGGACCCGTCATACTCCGCCGAAAAAAGCCCAAGAAAGCCCAAAAAGCCCAAAAGCGCCAGAAAAAGCCAGAATGCCCCTCGCAAGTTTTGGTGCTAAGGTATGTGTTAATTGCAGCCGGGTCTTTTTGGTTCATTTTCTGTCGTCTACACATCAAAATAATATCAAAATCCTACCAAAAGTTCGTTTCTGCGTTCCGGTCTTTCTGGTGCTTTCGGGCTTTTTCGGACGCTTTTGAGCTTTTCTCGACGAAATATGGTGGGTCCTTAAGGCTGGGTTCCTACTGATCTGTAAGTTTCCAAACAGCTCCACCACAGGTCTCGAATTGTGCGTTGTGCTCGAACTGTTCCGGAACTTACGGATTAGTATGAACCCAGCCTAAGCCGGCTGTCGGATAAGCACAAAAGGTCTTATACCGAACGAATACGAAGTGCTATAGGGCTTAGTGTGGCCGCAAGAGTAGGTGAGTATGCGACCATTGCACACACAAGATACCACAAAGCTTCAAATCAATCAAACAACCCCGCACTTTTCAAGATCGCTTCAGGTAATTTAGAGCAATTATCTGAACATGAAAGCGTTTGAAAAAAGAAAGAGAACTGGGAAGCAATGCGCGAGGAGGCTGCAAACTCAGCGACTCTCGCGATTACGCAGAGCCCTATAGTCGCCCCCGTAAGTGAAAAAGTTCCGATTTCCATGATCATGTCTAATGGCTCCCAAACCATGTTTTCCGCATCGAAAAATATGACTTGGGACTACGTGTCTACTGAAGAAGCAACAAAGCCCATAAAGATGAACTTAAAACCTAAACGAATCGTACTTCGGAACAGCCGTAACATTCAACGCCTCTCTGCATTCCCACAACAACGTAATTCACGCTAAAAAGTTTGATCGCTTTCTCTTCTGGTAGACGCCAGACTATGTACAATGCATTTGATGGGGTGGAGGACATTAGGTTGCCGAATTTGGAAGAGTCCCGCGCGGATTCCCTGCAGGAACGCATATCCGCGCATGTACGAGGGTGCGTATTTGTCGCAAATGACCGCGGGCACCGCCCTTTTTCGGCGACCATGGTCCCCATACACAGACATTCGCGGTTAAGTCCCGCCGGTGAATGTGTCCCGACGGAATGACTGCGGGACACAAGTATCGTTGGTTAGCTTTCGCTAGAGGGGGCGGACCACTGCAGACATGACATGACATGTCAATCGGTTGATAAACCTCCACCCTAGAGCATTGTTTTTGTACTCTCTCGCCATCAAAAGCCGCCGCGCTTGTACGTAGACAGTGCTCCACCCCCTCTAGCGAAAGCGAAGTAACGATAAATTCGCGAGAAAACGGGACTCGCGCATTTCATTTGGGATAATGCTGCGCGACACACGCGGTTGTCCCAAAATGTTTTCTACTGACAATGAGAATACCGCTGTACCGGGACTCTTTCGGGAGACCCTATAATGTCGCGATCCAAACACCGGGGACTCCCGCTCTAGGCTCACACACAGAAATCAACTAAGTCCACCGATACAGCAGCTTCGGGAACCAAGTCCGGGTTCAGAATTGGATAACGCCAAGATCTTATCGAGGGTTGTCCGTCAAACAACATATTGACCCTGTTTTTGCTTGAGAGATTGGAAACACATCCAAAGTTGTGGACATTAAGGGTAGTCTAACCATGTGTCGTATTTCGTGCAAGCATCCTTTACGCTCAGACACTGAGAGCGGCCGACTGCGTACCCCGAGATCGCGTCTCCCGATAATCTCCCGCTTCATTTTTTACTGTCGGGATGATTCCGTAAGTCGCAACAAATCCGGGTGTCGGGCAAGTTCTCGCGAATTCTCATTTTGTGGGCGGATCTCCTGCGGGTTAAAAGCAGCGTACTGTAACGAATTTATGTTTTACAGTTGTCGTTAAGCTAAGAGTGGTACCGTAGCTGGACTTTCAGTAACGCTTACTTCCTATTTTCCCAACCGGCATATATGAAACTCAACTAGATTTCTTATTAAGCATTTATCAGGCAGACATAAACAAATTATAAGATATAAAGGTGTAGCGGCAGACGGCAAAACAGGGCGGAATAAAAGTGTAAGAGTAATTAGATAAGAAATGAGGTAGCGGTAGATAGAGGGTGGATAGATAAATTTAAGTCAGAAGGATAGCCAAGCAGGAGCTAGGGCTCCGGCTCAACCTTACATAAACATTGCAATATAACAGAAGCGAATAAATACGAAGCAATTATACGAGAGAATAATAGGATAAACATATGATTAAAGATTAAATAAAAGTAGAGGGCGGTTGATTAAAATGAGGGGGGGGGGGGGGAGATTCGGAGACGATCTTGTTGAAGAGGCAGCTGCGAAGTTGCCTCAAGTCCGAACCTCTCCGTGGGCGGTGCATATTGCTTTATATAGCCCCGAGGCGATAGTTCGAAATATAGTCGAGGTGTTTTCCTTCGAGTAATTCAATGATCTTGGTGAGCCTTAATATTTGTGATGTCTCTTGTCTTGCGAACATCACTGCAGGCATTCGGTCATAGTAGTGATAATAGTCATATTCATCACCAGTTTGCGAATGTTTGTAGCGTTGGTTGTACGATCCATCATGAGGTGGTTGATTTTCGTTACGATAGAGAACATGTTTCTGCAACATAAAAGTGATTAGTACGCGACGGAGGAGAGAGTGAGGATGGATGTTAGAAATTTGTTTTTTCTTTGGATTAGAGAGTTTCAAAAGTATGCTCTAAAATGGGACAAAAGCAGAGGAGAGAGAGGAACATTTGTCGCTCCATGGTTAGGTAAGAATGAATATGATGAGGTGTATGAGTTCATGGGGAGGGAGTATTTATACGTATGTGAGAACCCGCCCTTATCGGCTGTGTCCCTGAGCCACAGCAGGGGGGTTTTCTTAAGACTAGACTCTGATTGATGATTCGTATAGTACGATTTGTTTTTATAATGCTATCATTGAGAGGAATGTTACGGGAAAATGTCAGGAAGTTGTTGTTGAAGGCGTTCTGAAAGGTTGGAATTCGTTGTGAAAGGACCGAGTCGTGTTGGAGGTAAGGTTGTAAGTTTAGATAAATACTAATTTACTGCGCATGAACTGTAGAGCGGTCACTTAATTGTTTTGAATTTTACCTTATTCGCGAGGGTGACGCTTAGACGACCTGCCCAGGCTTTTCCTACGCCATGAAAATAGTGGGAAGCAGTTTGCTCCAGTCACATAAGTTGAGAAATTTTCATGTCCTCGCGATAGAGTTGGCGTAGATGTGACTTAATGCGCTTATAGAAGTGAATATGTTGTTTTTTGGAATTAGATAGGATAGTAAAAGAATTGTTCTTTTGCCGAGTTTTATAGTATTAAAAACCCGGTCCGGAACCTCCATGTAACGAATTTATGTTTTATGGTTGTCGTTAAGCTAAGAGTGGTACCGTAGCTAGACTTTTCCAGCAACGCTTACTTCCTATTTTCCCATAACTGGTATCTGGGATTAAATCAAGACTTTCTTACTAAGCATTTATCAAGCAATAAGGAACTGAACATTACATAAAGATTTATGGCTGCAGACGGCGAATAGGAGGGCGGCATGGATGCATGGATATATTCAAGTAGAAAATAGGATAAATGACAGGCGGGAGCGAAAGAAGATTAGTCAAGCAGGAGCTAGTGCTCCGGCTAAACCTTACATAAACACGGCGATAGAATGGACGTGAATAAATACGAAGCAAATATACCAAAGGAGAATAATATGGGATAAACACATGATTAAGAGATCGAATCAAAATAGAGAGCGGGTGATTAAAAATGAGGGAGTGGGGCGGAGATTCGGAGACGATGTTATTGAAGAGGCAGCTGCGAAGCTGCCTCAAGTCCGAACCTCTCCGTGGACGGGGCATATTGCTTGGAGGAATTGATCCAACAGGTCAATACTCTCCAAACCACCCGAATCCGCCCCCTAGACAAAATCGCTCCCGCGCAGTAGCACGTTTCCAGCCGAACAACAGGCCAAATAATAACTCCAACTGGAGACAACAAAGGAGATCCGGCACTCCTTTGCGCCCCACAAATACCAATTGCGGAAATCCTCGCGGATTTCGACCTTTTGTAAGACGAGCCTTTCCAACTAACAACGTTTTTGGCCTTGCCGCCCTCCTAACAATCAATACCGCCCTTACAACCAATTCTACAACCCATATAATCCTTACATGGCGTATGCACCTCCAGCGCCATACGCCGCAAATCAGCCCGCACTACCACCGGCGCCAAATACGACCCAATACTACCCACAGCCAGGCCGAATGCCTTCTGCAGCCCAAAATGTGAACTTTCTATGCCTCTTAGCCATATAGCAACCTGCTTGATAACCCCGATCCTGCCCTATCAAGTTTGCGGAAGTAGCACCTTTCCAAACGCACTTTCTCTGCCCAAACTTATACAATGTAGTGTTTCCCCGGACGAACCGCTAATCGAGACTACGGTACAACTTTTTGGCGAAACTACCAACCCATTACGAATTCCAGCCTACAAATGTTACCGGGATGTTATTCAAGTCTCTATACATAACATCCTCTATATAAGAACGCGACGAACTGTAGTCAGCCGCCAACGTCTCTCAATCCCAGCAGAAGAATGTGAACTTGGGAAAAGTAGCGGTATCATCAAAGGACACACCCTTACCGAAATTGCCCCAGGACTTGAAGTAACGGAAGAAATTGAGGACGAAAAGACCTCACTCCCGCTCTGGGGTACTAACCTATACTTGCGAAGCCTCTATTCCATCGAAGAAGGACAAATAGCTTCCCTAAATGGAGAAGCCATGCTCAGTACCCTTGGAGACTCAAACAAC